GAGGGAAAAAGGAAAGAAATAGGGGGGCGGAAGAGGAAGGGGAAAGAGCGAGAAGGGAGAGAAGAAGGAAAAACGGAAGCGCAGTTAGAATCAGTTGGCAGAGGGAAATTTTAACCGTCGAAGGCCTACCAAGGCTTCCTATTTTCCATCGACGATCGCGAAGCGACCGACCCAGAAAGAACCCTCGACAGAGAGGCTCGTTTATTTCCTGACAGTCATTTCCTCTTCTTTCAGGAGGGAATCGGCTCCCTGAAGGTGGTGCCCGGAGGGATCGAGCTCAGAGGTCAGGCTGCCGTGTTGGATGCCCTGGTGGCCTCCAGCCTGAGATCCAGACGGGGGAAGAATCTGGTGCTGGAATCGTGGAGTAACTTCACAGCTTCTGCTAGGTCGCACGACGGACGATTGCTCGCGAGATTCACTGTCGGTAAGGATAGAACGATTATAAAGATTGTTGGAGATTTTCATTATTCGTTTCGGTGTTCTTTCAGTCTTAACCCCTTTGCCGTGTAACGAGTCAGACTCGTAGCACAGATTTTGGTCGAGATCTGATAAAAATAGTTATACCGGTGTGAAAAATTCATTTTAACACATTGCTGTTTTTCGCGCTTTTTACATCTGTAGCGGGCAAACCCGAGCAAATTCACCCACCAAATGGCAGAGTGTTAGTAGTTCCTAGTCTATACGTGTAGCTCTACACAACTAAACTAAACGGCATATGGCTCCTTTCAGGCTTTTTCTCTTCTCGTCGAGCAGAATACGTTGATGTAAGAAATAAAATTTAACATTAATTTTCAACGTTATAAACAATTTTGCGGAAACTTTTTTTTACAAATGTCCACCGATCCAAGGGTGCAGATTCACCCCCTGAAGCAGTGACCATTAATTGTTTTACACCCTGTACGTGTGTACGAAGAACAGTTTTATATACGGAGGTTGCAGTAATTTCAAAAACTGTAAATGCATAGCAAACTGAGATACTGAGTTCAGCAATTATTATATCTGCTTTTAGAGGTAGTAGAAGTTTATATTTGTTTAAGTTTTAAAACAGCTCTGGTAAATTTGCGTTTATTTGCAAATTGTTACAACCGTTCATTTGCTAAATAAATATTAATACGTCAACTGATTGGAATTTCTATTTACCATTTTCTTTCGTACTTTTTGTAATTATTATTTTTATTCTTCTCATATATGTAGTATATCAATTCTAAGAAATTTCATTCTATAATTTTATTCGGTCAATTAAGTTTACTAACACAAGATTTTTCACCCATTTCTCTAAAAATCTTCCCGACCAATCTCTCCAATTCGCACGATTAGTATCGTATTAACAAGACTACAATAATTCGCTTGAACCAATAATTTGCACACCAACGCACCAACTTGTTTCAAAGTTATACATTTTCCAATTCCATTCGCAAACCGGTTCTATTGTGTTGAAAAATTTGCAACTTCCGACGCAATGGGGGAAATTTTCGATGGTAATAATAATACGCGACTTCGTTCCCGGTGTTTCCCATTGTTAATCTGATTGAAATCGGCTGGAGACACGGTTTCGGCTTAATTCGAATCACTTTCAAATACATCCAGTTAACGGTTACTTTTTCAACGAACGGTACTAAAAACTCTGCTTGACGTTTCGAACGTTTTGCAAAGGTACACCCTCAAATATTTTCCTTCTTAGTCCTTAGTTTTATCTGCATTTACAACGAGTCACCCACTTTCACCATTGCTCATACTGGACTCTTCACCTTCCAACTCTCCTACATAGCCCTATTTTCTCCATTTCCGCGTTCATTCCCTATTTTACCATGCGCACGTCACGTCACGTCAAAATCTCCGTCGAATAATGTTCCGTTTCTACGCAACGACGATCCTTAAGTGTCCTAATTCAGTGATATATCTACTCCTAGTTTCGAGGAACTGGAGCAAACCGGGCATCACAGTACGAAAAGAAAAAGGGCACGTTGCGTTCGTGCAACAATTGTCCCGCGAAATCCTGTTGGCTTTCAAGGTGAACGAATAGAATTTTGTTGCTTGATTTTAATGGAACCGGATATTCTTCTTTTTTGTCTTGTGTGCCGTCCCAGGAAACAAAGGGACGAATATCGATAACACGCAACGGTGCACCGGAGCGAGATGTGCCCGTTAATGGACACGAGCGTTCCCCAGTCGCATCGTGTTTTACAGCTATGAAGCTAAATCGCGCGACAATCGACGACGCGACGAGGCCTTCGATGTGTGTATATGTGTGTGTAATATACACTGTATTAATGTCGACGACGATCACAGTTTTAAGCGGTCACGTCGAAACGTCGAGAAAGTCATTTAATTTTCTGAAGAAGGAAAAAGAAGGAACACGAGGAGGAAAAGAAGAAATCTCTAAGGATCTACAGGTCCTGAAAAGATCCTTACGTCCCCGTATTTCTCTCGGTGAAATGTTTCTTATTCGTTACAGAGCTTCAAAGGATATCTAAGTATTTTGAATAAATACGTAGCTTGAGTAGAATTATTCGAAGCAGTGAACTATTTAAATGAATTCCAAGTTCTTCGTTATCGCGGTTTAAAATCGACGTTAATTCGCGGCACGTATAATAAACGCGTGGACGAGGGGTTGCTTTATATTAACGCGATCGGAGGTACCGTGGAGTATTGATGTATAGTTGGTGGAAGAAATTTAGCGAGGTTGTAAGATCGATTGTTGAAGTTTAGTTGGTCGAGGAGATCGAAAAGGGAGTTGACAGAAACCAGAGTGAATACTACTCTGACTTTTTTACTTTGATTCGTGCAAGTATTTTTCACACTTTTTTATTTTTCCACTTGCACATTCTCTTTCTCATTCTACGCAGACGTTCTTCAGAGACATTTATAGTCGTATTCATCCAAATCCTTGGTGGCCATACACCCTTCGTTTACACGATATTCTGAAGTATAGTCTATGGAAGAAATATGGTGAGATTGTAGATTAAAGTATTAAGCAGCAACGCCGACTTTTCGTTTAGCACTGAATCAAAGCTAAGACGTACTTCATGCGGCCCTAACCGAGGATTTGGGATTTCTATCGATTTGCTTGTCGATAGGTTCGAAAAAGTAAACTTTGACGCCTAGCCAATTTTACGATCTCGCTATATTTCTTCCATCGACTATACTGTGGTATCGAGGCCTTCATACCCATCGAAAAAAAGCAAACAAGGAAATCAAGAGGGCTCCTTGGTCCCTGAAATTTTTCCTTGACTCCTATGATACCTTAGATTTGATTCAGTCTCAATTGGAAACCGTAAAATGCTGAATGTCAATCTTAGGTGTCACTACATCAATCGGTGCCTCTACTTAATACAGAGGCGCTTAACTTCTTGCTCGCGAGCAAATTTCCCCTCCCGAGGTTCCCCCACTATTCGACTGAGATGGTCTCGCTCGAGTTGCGGCGCGGTGGGAGGAGGACTCGAGGAGTCCTCCCACCACAACTCCAGAGACTGCCATTGGTTTATGTTACACATTCTCCGTGTTCGTACCGCATAGTGGGGGAACCTCGGGAGGGGAAATTTGCTCGTGAGCAAGAAGTTAAGCGCCTCTGACTTAATACATTAACTTACGGACCTCGCTATATTTCTTCCACCGACTATACACAATAGCTTTCAAAAGCAGAACTTCCACTAGACAAAGAAGAAACACTCTCGAATTCACTGCTCAACCAAGGTACCCAAAAAAGTACATTAAAATAATAAAAATGAAACACTCTCCATAATTCTTCTCCAATTTGTACGGGCCTTTGGTGTAAATAATATTTGTCAGGATTATTTAAACTAATTCTGAAAACTATATTTATTCGTCCGTCTGTCGTTGACGTCTCGTTCTTTTCTGGTCCGTCCTTATCAACTACACGCTTCCTAATTCGTTCTAATACATTCTCTCAATTCTTATTTAACGCGTCCTTATATACGAGTCTTGACGCCCCTCTCTTACTTCCGGGAAACCCTAGCATAAGTTGGAGGTTTCCTCAGAGCAAAGTCAGCGTCGCGCGAGCACGTGGCTGGGTCTTACCTGACCCAGCCCTTAGCGCGTGGGGGTGTCAAGGCGTAGGGACCTCTCGGTCTGCGGGTCATAAACCAGTGCGAGTCCCAACGCTCCCTCGACCATACTCTTACATAATAATTTTTCTAATATATTCCGCTTAGTCTTATTCAACGCTTATATACGTGCCTTGACGCCCCTCTCTTGCCTCTGAGAAACCCTGGCACAGGTTGGGAGTTTTCTCAGAGCAAGGTCCTTACTTGACCCAGCCCTTAGCGCGTGGGGGTGTCAAGGCGTTGGGACCTCTCGGTCTACGGGTCATAAACCAGCGCGAGTCCCAACGCTCCCTCGACCATACTCTTACAAATTAAACATTTCAACGTGTAACATTTAAAATCCCTCTAAAACTCATACCTTTCCCCTAACAAAGAACCCGTGTCAACAACGTTAACACAGCAAACTTGAACTCCATTTTCCCCATCGAAGATTCACAGAAACGTATACAACAGTTCTCGCTTCTCGTCGATTTTCAACGAGCTGACGCGTTCCACCGAAGGATTCTCCTCTTTTCCCTCTCACTCTCGTTTTTTTCCAAACGGAAAATGGTAGATGAGTGTCCTTTGTCCACTTTGCAGGCGAGGATCGCGTGGACTGCGTGTCGAGAGGCTTCCGGATAACCGACCCTCGAGGAGGAATTCTGTTCTCGGCGGACAGGGAGCAGGTGGTGGTGGGAGCGGAAATGCTGAGGGTAACTGGCGACGGGGGTGCCGTTTTCCAGGGCAGCGTTCAGACTCCACTGGTCAGAGGGGAATCGGGCCGTGGCCTCAGGTAAATGGGAATCGAAGTTAATTAAGATTTTCTCCCTTACAGACGAATAACAAAGAGTGCTACGAAAAACCACCCTTACAATGTTTAGTTCGAACGGGTGTCGTTCCAGGTGTACTGTTTTAGACTATCTCCCGACTTAGTGCGGGTACATGGGTTTTATAGTAGTTTTGGCACCTTGCTTCCGACCAATCAACGGTCAGGAAAAGGGCCTGGAGTCGAGCGTTGCTTTGTGGGTTTTTCCGACTTCGCCCCCTTCCTACCTGTGGCGGTTGCTTTGCGTTTTTGGTTTATAATTATAAAGGTGTTTGGTAATGATAGTAATAATATCGGTATGTGTGGGGGAAAGGCAGTGGGTTCGTAACATCTGATCGATACATATGGTTAATTTAAAGTTACACCGAGGTAAATTGATACTTTTCGACTTGATCAAATTAACATTTTGTTCAGTCACAGTGTATCATATTTTTCCGAATTTTCACCGTTAGTATACAAAGAGGAGGAACCGACGTATATTTTAACACAGTTGTAATTGAGTAATTAACGGGGAACAAAAGTTACAGTAATTAAGAACTTTAAAAACCTTTCAACTTGCCGCGTGTGCGTTAAATTTTTTCAAATTCTCCCTTGTAACGTACAAAGGGGAGGGACCAAAGTGAAAATTAATTAACTCGAACAAAGATTACGATAATTAAATAATAAAACACCAGTCAACTTGCCCGATATTCGTTAAAAATCGTACAAAATATCACAGAAATGAAATAGAATTCTTAAGTGTATCCTCTGAAAAATTTCACTCGAATATTTGCCTGAATATTACATCGTGTGCATAAATATTGCAAACAGAGGAAGTGTGTACAAGAACTTTGATAAATATTAGAATATCCGCGAACTGAAATAGAATTTACGAAAACAGATGCGCTTGGAATACCAAGAGGTCGAGACAAATAAAATTGTCGATCCTTGTAATGAGTGAGACATTGAGTCACCAAGTCACTCTTAAGATTAACCCCATAACGCCAAAAAACAAGTTACTCATCGATCGCTGACTGTCCCTTCAAAGTCCTGTCCAGCAATTCGTCACCAGAGCCAAGTTCACCTTCTCCCCCAAACCCTTCCTTACAAGTCCACCCGAAAAATCCCTTAGAAGATCATTATAGAAACCAAGCGATTATAGTTCAGAGCTGTCGATCTAGTACACAGCAGAAAACCACAACGTCACTTCCCTTCGTGAAGTTCGAGCCTTGTAAATTCGGAGCCCGCGAGTATAAGTGTCATCGTTAAAATAAAAGTTACATTGTTAGAATATAATCGATATCTACTTTCCTCCCTGGATTCCAACATAAGCGAGAAGAAAGAAAAGAAGAGGAAAGAAAGGCTAGTATCCATCGAATTTAGGGGAGGGCGGGAAGAGAAGCATTACACGTCCTCGATCATCCCAGTTCCAAGTAGTTCACCGGAGCATCAAGTATTAAAACAAACGGCCACGGTCGAGAACTCGGTCTTTCGCTGCGCAGCCTTTGTCCCATATATTTATTTCGAGCATTGCTAAAAGTGGCTTCTGGTTCGACCCAGTTCAACAAACTCTCGCGCGACACATTTCTCCACCGGGCTTTCTTCATCTGTCCGAATAATCATCGGTAGGATAGGGAGGCAAATAGCCGTGCGAATTCGTGTTTCGACGTTCCATCGACTTTTCCTTTTTCGACGGTTTCGCAACCGGCTATAAATAATCGAGCCGCGCGGGATTAAGCTTCGGTTCGCGGTTGGGTAACATTAAATATATGGCGACAGGGGAATGAAAGGGCGCCAGTTTCAGATGAGATCGTATAATTCATGCTGGGGGTTGGTATTGATAAAAAGCGTCACGATATTCTTATTCGACTTTGTATCTTGTTTTTTTTTTCACTGTCTCTCTCTCTCTCTCTCTCTCTCTCTCTCTCTCTTTTCGATGCGATCAGACTTGTTGCTTTCCACAGTTGGTCGCGATCAATAATGATAACTGTATCAACGAGGCAAATGCTGTTATTCACATTTGATAGGGGGAAAAAACAGTCGGTTGTGTTCGACGATTTACTTTTGTATCGAGATGCAAATTTAAAGGAACTCACGAATCTCGTCTGTTTAAGAAGGATTAGTAATAACTAGACTGCAGAATTTTGTGCATTTATGGAAAATTTGAAGACACAAAAATAAATATACCTAAAATATAGTAATTATAATATTTAGTAAATAGAAGAATTGCCTATCTAGTTTCCGGTTTTTTAATTATATTCATAAAAATCAACAGTCTAATGATAACTGTACCAACGAGGAAATTTCTATTATTCACATTTGATAGGGGAAAAAAAAAACAGTTGCTTATGTTGCACGATTTACTTTTGTATCGAGATACAGATTTAGAGGAAACTCACGAATCTCGTCTCTCTAAGTAGAAATGATAATAATAATTAGACTGCAGATTTTGATGCATTTATGGAAAATTTGAGGGCACAAAAATGCACAGAATGCACGTGATAAGCAACAATACATACATATATTTAAAATATACCCGACTAGAAATTTCAGTTAGGCAGATATTAGGTCCGCATTAGGCTAACCTAATATGCCTGTTAGGCCCACATGCGGTGCGTAACGCGGAATATTCACGACCGTCTAATTGGGAACGCCGCGTTAGGGCCACATTAGGCTTTCCCAATGACTATCCAACGAGGCCAACCGCATTAGGCCCATATTAGAATAGCTTTATTAGGCTGTCATTGGGAGACATTAATGAAATTTCACGAGGAATACCTCATCAAGACACTGTATGGATTAAATTGTAAAAACTTTTATCTTGTTGAAAGCTCTCACGCAAACGTACGTCCGACATTGAGATGTCTGTAAATATTCCTACATATAAGTTTCAGAACCATCCCCATTTCAGCCACGTATGGCAACTGCTAGGAATGCCCAACCTAAGCGTGCGCTCGGACACCCCCATTTGGGCCACGTATGGCAACTATTAGGAATGCCTAACTTAGGCGTGCGCTCGGTCACCGCCATTTGGGGCACGTATGGCAACTGTTAGGAATGCCTAATTTACGCGTGAGCTCGGCCACTCCCATTTGGGCCACGTATGACAACTCTTAGGAATGCCCAATCTAAGCGTGCGCTCGGCCACTCCCATTTGGGCCACGTATGGCAACTGTTAGGAATGCCTAACTTAAGCGTGCACTCGGCCACGCCCATTTGGGACACGAATGACAACTGTTAGGAATGCCTAACTTAGGCCTGCGCTCGGCCACCCCCATTTGGGCCACGTATGGCAACTGTTAGAAATACCCAACTTAGGCATGCATTATTCTTTCCTAATCCCACTCCTATTTGGGCCACTCCTATTTGGGCCACGTATGGCAACTGTTAGAAATACCCAACTTAGGCATGCATTATTCTTTCCTAATTAGGACCTAATGCGGTAACGATTAGGCTTGCAGCATTTAGGTATGCCTAATCGTTTCTGCATTAGGCCCACATTCGTCTTTAGGCATGCCTGACTGAAATTCTAGAGCAATTGCCTATCTAGCTTCTCTTTTTTTTAATTATATTCATAAAATTATGAATTTGCTTAAAAATCCGCAGTCTAATGGTAACTGTATCTACGAGGAAAATGCTATTATTCACATTTGATAAAAAAAAATCGATTTACTATTGCATCCAGATAAAAATTTAAACGAAACGAAAAATTTAAACGAAATGTCATCTCTCCAAGCAGGATTGATAATAATAAATTCGAAGAAAGACGTAGATATTCTACTCCATAGATATTCAATTTTATTACCAAGTTAATAGCCTACAATACAATAGAAGAAAATATTTCGAAACGTTCGATCGGTTATATTTTCCTCAAGACAAAGAGAACCACCCAGTTTCCAAATCAACGACATTTCCTTTTCCAACGATCTCCACGTTACCAATCGCAACCGTAAGTACCACCTCTCCTCCCCTATTTCCAATCGACATGATCATATTCGAGTGTTCCTTTTATCAGAGCTCGAAATATCCACCGATTGCATCGATTTCGCGTCCTCGTCGAGCCACTTCACCGCGAAATGTCAGCAGGAGATTTCTTCTTCGTCCTCGAATTGGCGATTCCTCCCCCTTGCTCTTCGCGAGGATGCTGTATCGTTGAGACGAAGATGACGCGACGGGGATATTCAGTTGGTGTTAGCGCGAGAGAACGAAATGGACGGACGGTGGAGAAGTTGAAGCAGAAGCAGTGGTTTTCGCGGTTATTGATAGTGTCGGGCAATTTACAGACGGATTTACGATTACAATAAAACTTTGCTCGCGCGGAAAATTATATTCATAGGATTGGATTTATGCCAGATATGAAATACCGAAGGATGCTTTCGAGGCTGCAAGCAATAGGTCGAAAACGATGACGGGGATTGAGAGAGAACGAGGGAGAGAGAGTTAGAGAGAGATGGTATTGGAAGAAAAGCATGGTCGAAGACGCTGCTTTACCACATCTTAGAAAAGAGGATCGATTATTGCGAGTCTGACGTTGCAGTCGACTGAAGGCTGTATTATTTTGTCGCGCGATATTGCGGACAACTTTTCGACCGTATTTCTTCCTCTCCGGGGAAGCTGCTGCGATTCTCGCTCGATCTTCATTTTTCACCGTGTTTCCCTTTGTTCTGGTTAATTGAAAGGAGGAAACGTGGTTCTGCGCGATTTCCGTCCTTTCGAGATCGAATGATTTTTTCAGAATTTTTTGGTTACCTGTTGATCGAATTGAGATCAATTCTTGTGGAATGCGTTGGATATTTCGTCCTCGAGTGCTGCGGTCAAAAATGAATCATCACGTAGAGAAGAGATACCTTAGACCAGTGATGGCGAACCTATGACACGCCAAGACATTTTGGGTGACACGCGTCGACTTAAGTCACCTCACAGACGAAACCGAGCAGATCACAAATAATCATCGCACAAACAACGAAAAACTGTCTTCTATCAACGAGTGATCGTACAAGGTCGTAACGCTCGCAATTATGGATATTTCTAGATGTGGCGCGTCGACTTAAGTCACCTCAGAGCCGAAACCGAGCAGATCACAAATAATCATCGCACAAACAACGAAAAACTATCTTCTATCAACGAGTGATCGTACAAGGTCGTAACGCTCGCAATTATGGATATTTCTAGATGTGACACGGCACCCGAGTTAAGCTAGGTTTTTTCCCAATTTTGACACACCGAGCTCAAAAGGTTCGCCGTCGCTGCCTTAGACAGAGCCTGCAGTTCTGGGTAGGAAAAAGGATCTTTCGTTTAGAAAAAGTCAGAGCAGATATTTTTCTGACCTGACTTCCTTTTCACATTCTTGCCGTGTGACTCGCACAGTTCGAACGTTTTCTCCAGTAAATCTCTAGTTAAATAAAGAAAGCTTATTTAAAGGTTAAGAAAGACATTGGTTTATTAATCCACTGTCCCAATCCAACAGGATGTATTTTAAAATTTGAAGATAAAAGTTGCCAGTGGAGTAATTGAAAATTTTACTTTTCTTATGAATTTATTCATAAAATTCACCGTAGCTCAAACTAGCTTATTATCAACCCTTTCGCTGCGGCAGATTTTAGCGCATAACGCACGTGGCAGATACAGATGTTCCACAACGTTCGGAAAATCTTTTCTTTCGGCCGTATCGTTTTGGAATTTGCTTTATTCAATTAAGCTGGAAGAGTGCGAAGGATAAAATTAAGGCTTGAATTAATAGCACAGCGTGAACAAATTTTCAACGCGGCAATAGCAGTCCAAGAGGCTGATTGATAATTTCTACAGATTGCAAATACTTTTCAGAATAAATAAAATTTTACTTTTACACAAAATTGCTATATCGTTTTCCAAAAACTATATTCAACGAACTCGAAAAGCTTTTCCAATTTTAATATTACCAAATGTGCAAATTTGTTACTTTTCCAATTGACATCTGTGACGCGCAATTCTTTTCCAATTTCAAACAAGCGCTTACAAGCACGATATTACAAAGCAATATTTTTTATTTCCACGTTAATGCCAGAACCCTGCGGCACTTAGTTGTAGATTTTCGAAAACTGTGCGCAGCGTCCAACTAAACCACCTGCGTCAGAATTGTCGCCAGCAAAAGTGTCGATAAAACTTCCATACACCTGGAGATAACGAGATTTCAAAGAGAATATCGAAATTATCTCACAACCACCCTGAAAGTCCTACAAATTTCGAAACGAAGTAATAATTTCACGATTACTTGTCCACAGACTCGAATCAGCGACCAGATCCTTGAAGATCAGTGCTCCTCAGCGAGTGGTGATCGAGTCCTGGGCCAACGAGATCTCCGCCTCGTGTCTAACAGATCTCAAGCTTCAAAGCGTGCACGGCGCCATCAGTCTAGATGCGAAAACCCTCTTCATGAAGGGACTGAAGACCGCCAGTCCGAGCCAAGGGCACTCGTCGAGGGAGCAACAGCAACAGCAACACTCGCCTAGAACATCCTCTCATCAGAACCAAAGAGACACGACCATCTATCAGTTATGTGCCTGTGCTAATGGCAAACTGTTTCTCGCGAGATCTGAGGGAACCTGTCAGGCGGACAAATCGATTTGCTAATACCCCAAGACATAGGCAGAGATACAGAACGCGAACGAGTCAACGTTTCGTGAAAATTCCACGATGTGAGAGAGATAAACGAGAGATCACCGGACGAATACGCTGTTGGCGATCGAGAGAAAAGGATCGTGGATGGAGAGATCGTAGAAATCCATGCAGGGTGGCGGGTGTACAGTAGTCGAAGTCCCGAGATCGCCCGAGGCCTTTCGCTTTTCGCTGGTGTTTCCGTTTCTAGACGCGCGCGAGAAACGTTCCTGTATTCCCACCCCTCCTCGTGTCATTCGTGGGAATCAGATTCGCTGTTTTTAATCCCCGTTGGATTCGAACGAGCAAGCCTGTGAATAATTTCGTAGGGGATAGAAGAAGACGAAGAAGCAGAGAAAAAAAATGGACACCGGTGGTCGTGAGAGGATAGAAATTCGATGGAAGTTCTAGTTCCGGGGAATAAAAAGTTCTTCCAATATTTCGGTGAATCGTCGCGCGAAACAAGAAATGATAACGCGGCGTGAATACTGTATATCTTGTATATCGACGAAACTAAAACCGATCCACCCAGTGGGGGTAAACCACTGGACAATCGGAATCGTCGTCTCGTTCCTGTCTAGCCCTGTTCCCCCCCGTCATGTCGTTTAGGCCGAGATCGTTTCCCACGTCCCAACTTCCTCGATCCTGCTGGTTTCTTTGCGCAAACGTTCGCGTTGGCCAGTCGATAGGTAACGATTTGCAGTTCCTTTGAGCCCGATCGAACGAACCAGAGTGTGTAAAAGAGAGAGATTGAGGGAGAGAGAGAGAGAGAGAAAGGAAAAGCGTGTGAAGGAAACGAACGCGAGAGATGGAGAGAGAGAGAGAGAGAGAGAGTGTCGGAGCAGCATTAGAGGAGAAGGTGCGTGTATGCTGGTGTACCTTACCGCGTTAAAACTAGTTTGGAGCGTGTGCGCGCAACCACTGTCTGTGTTTTCGCCCGGTTTACGGATACGCCGATTAGAGAGACACGTCGCGATTAGAGGAACGTTTATTTTGGAGCGTGTTTTGCGGTACAAGGGAGACGCAAGTGTAGTTCACTGTAAAAGGATCCAAGGTTGTGTGATCCAGCTTGTACGCTGTACATCGGCCATGTCCATCTATTTATGTATGTGGCAATAAAGTCGTTATTGTTACTATTATTATTAAACATCGTCGATGATCCTTCCCTTCGCCCCCGATAAGTTTCAGGAGGATTCAGAGAGGACGTTTCTACGGTTCTATGGCAACAGGTACGTACTGTCTTGGTTCTTTCAGCGCAGCTATAGGCGGGATCGAGATTGCTGACGCCTCAAGGTCACAGATTCCTCCACTTTGAAATTTCAAGTTTAGTCAGACGTTTAAATTTGGTTTCGTTTGGAGCCGCGCTTAACACGGTTACGAGGGGATTTCGAGTCTTTTTCTTCAATTATGACTTTCTTAATTAATATTTTTCGAAGAAATTTTGAGAAATGTGGTAAATTATTTTTTTATAAAACGTATACAATTCGTGAAACGCCTGTCGTGGCATTTCTGAAGAGAAATTGAATCATTTACAGCGTTTTATGAACTTATTTCGAGACAGTTATGTGAAAATCTCAATGACGTATTTCCGCGTCAACCGGACTCGAGTGGAAAACCTGAATGACGCGTATGTGCGTCATCACAGTAGAATCACAAGTGAAAATTATCAAAGTTAATTCTGTGAGGACCATTTTAGTGTCCTTTGAAGACAAAAGTTTGGTCCTGATTTATAAAGAAGCACTTATTCTAATTGATATCGCACGAATGCTTTCTGCTAACGTGTGATCTTTCAGTTTGAACGTAGCTATAGGCGGACCAAGAATACTCGCGCCTCAAGGTCACAGTCCCCACCACTTTTACTCTTACCTTATTGTTAGGTCTGAATAGAATTTTCTTTTTTATTAAACTGAATTGAACGACAATTGAAAGTGACGATCAAGGTTAATAATTAAGAGGACTAATTGGTATGACACGAAACTTTTACCTCGCGATACAGAAGAGCCGCTCTCCAACCGTGGACTGATGTTTTTAATACGAACGAGCGAAACGAAGGCCAGTTCCTACAGATTTCCATTCGGAGCAAACTTCCGGACGGTTGGCCGCGATAAACGATAACGTCGGCGAAATTAGGCGAAACGAAAATAGTTTCAAGGAAGGCCGATCTCGCTGCATAATATAGTATATGTCAAGCGGGCTGACAGGTAGCAGGGGCAATCTCACCTAGTAGCCCCTTAAACGGCTCTGACGGCAAGGTAATTTTCTCGGAATTCGAGATTAAAATTGCATCCAGGCTAGAAGGGAACAAAGTGCGGCCCCAGCCACTCTTGCACAGACTTCGACGGGGGGTAAGGTAACGACGGCGGTGGGCAGAAAGGAGAAGGTGAAGCAATCTAACAAGCCGTGGGAAGAGAGGGAGTAAGCGGTGTGAATTAGCAGCGACCAAGTAAAAAATACTCGCTGGATGAAAAATGCCTCTTAGATCCCTTTGTATTACCTTAAGACGAGCAAGGGATCTTGGAACACCGCGGGGAACGAGCTGAAAATGCTTCCGACCACCGCCGGTAAATTACACCAGACCCCTTTACTTCTTCACGGAAGATTTAACATCGATACAAGTTTCCTGTTTTCTCTTTTTTCTCTCTTTCCTTTTTAACTCTTACTTCTTAAGCTCGTAAGTTCTTATTTTCTCCTCTCTGTTTCTCTTCTAAGTTTACAGAATGCGTTTAATTTACGTGATTCTTTGATTTGCAAGCGGTATTTGTAGTCGTTTAACTCGACGACGCGTGAGTTTATTGGAAGATCCTTTCTTAGAGGAATCTAGACGTGTCGTTAGTAGTGCAACAGGGTTGGTTCGAGGTCTAACGAGGTAGCGGCACTGTAATCACTGATAAACAGGTGACTTTGTACGGATTTTATTACGCATTAGACGAAACCAATATATACTCGTTAGTATATAAAAATATGAAAAAGAAAAAAGAAAGAGAGAGAGAGAGAAAAGATTCTTCCGTGACCTGATTTAAATGTTCAAAACCCTTTTTGCTCGACGGCAAACGGTGATTAGAAGCGGCAAAGTTTCCCCCAGAGGGCGGGGGAACGTCGTCTCAAAGAAACGGCCGGATAATTAATCCGGAATCTATTCAGGAGCCATTACCGCGCTCCGACTGGAGACTGATTAATTAACCGGCCGCTTTGTTTATATAGTCCCGGGACTATTACCGAGTGCTTCGCCAGTTAAATTACTTGCACGATGCTCGAGTGACGCGACACGCTTGCACTTTTCTGTCTTCTCTCGCTAAGACTGTCTCTCTGCTGTCTTTCCTTCCTTCTCTCTCTCTTTCTCGTCACTTCCCAACTTCCACTTGCCTCCGCTATCCTCTTCTGCCGCCGCAAGGGCAACAGCGGAGGGTGAGTAGCCGAGCTGCCGGTGGATGCGCACCGCGTAGAGGCGGAGGCTGTCGGATGGATTCCGTGAAGCGTGAAATTGTCGCGCGACCGATAAAGCTTTAAATACGAATTAGCGGCACTCGTGCCACGCGAAAGCTGGCGTCGCGCTACGTCATCCCGCGGACATTTCCACGCACCACGTGCTGCTATTCTACCACCGCTTTCTCCCCTCTCGTCTCTTTCCTCTCCCGTTTCTCTCTCGTCTCCTCTCTTTTTTGTCTCTCCCTTCTCTCCTTCTTTTCTCTCTCGTCTCTCTGTTGTCTCTTCCTTCTCTCTTCTTCCTCTCCCTGCTGTCTCTCCCTTCTCTCTTCCTCCGCTCTGTGTTGCTTCTCCCTTTTCTCTCCATTTTCTTTCTGTTTCTTCTCTCGTCTCCTCTCTCTGTTTTCTCTCGTTTCCTCTCTCCGCTGTCTCTCCCTTCTCTCTCGTCACTTTTCTCTCTCACCTCGTCCTTTTTCTCAATTTTTCTCTCATCTCGTCTGTTTTCTCTCTCTTTTCTCACTTTCTGCTTCCCTCTCTCCCTTTCCCTCATTCTCTCTTAATACCCCTCCGTTCTCCGGGCTCTAATTAGTCTCCGAGCGTATTCGTAAAAGGGATCGAGACGGGGAACAGGAAACGATCGGTTACCGCCAATGCCCCGTACGCGTAATTAGCTTTACCCCGTGCCGGCCTCGTTGAAAATTCGCCGCTACGGATGTCCCGTTGGCACTGTGCCCGTCGCGAATTTATCGGGACCGTGAAGTGAATGTAACGCGAACGGGCCGACTGGTCGGAAGAGATTCCACCGTTACACTATCCGATAGACAGGATTCGAAAGCTTGACTGGAATATTGAATATCGAATTAGGACACTAGTTGCGGAATCGTGAGTGGCTTCGACCGTATCTAAGTCAATCGCTGGCAGTCGATTGAATTGAAATTTTCAACAAAATGGACAGAGAACCTACTACAAACTTTCATACCGTCAAACAGAAAAAAGATCTCCTTCAGAAACACACTTAAATTCTTTCAAACGTTCTTCTACTTTAACTTTAAGATCCTCTGCAAAGTGTCATTCGAGAACACCCCTGATCCTTTTGTTCCTACGATTACAAAAGAAACTCTATCTAACTGTTCTTCTTAGTTAACACAACCTTCTTAAATTCACGCTCCTCCAAAAAATCTCACTCAACCTGGTTTAATCAAGCATCGTGAAGAAATGAATTTCTCATCGACGAGGCCAGAGACGCGTTCCATCCATCTCGAGCTACACGGAAGAATTAGAGACAAAGGGAAAGCATAGAAGACCGGGTAGAATGGTTAACTCGATGAAGGTTCCCAGAGACCGCGGTAACGTCGTCATTGGCTGGTATGTTTGTTTAAAGTGTAAATGCAAATTACGGGGCCGCTATAACAGGTTGTTGCTTCGCGAGTAGGGTTTGGGTAAGGGTGGATCGAGCAAACGTTTGCAAGGTAAGGAGATTGTGTCTGTGGTAGAGGAGCTACGCTCGAGGATCGCGAGCAGAACTCCCTCTCTCTACACAGAGTACAGAGAAG